GGGGCTGCCTGGTCACCACGCAGAGGTGGCGGTGCCCAGTGGCCAGGCCTCCGGCCGCCAGGATCCTCAGGCCTGCGGGATGGGAGCCAGAGGGTATTCCCCCAAACGGCTTAGGACTCTGCCCGCCACCTCTCCAAAGGGCAAAAAGCGAGTGTTTCTAGGTTCCACATTGATTCGCTTAGTCCCCTCCCTGAAACCCACACCACAGTCCACCTCCTGGACACAGACACACGCAGCCACAACTTCGTACTTGGTTGTTGGGGACCTTCATTCGTGCCCCACCTCTGCCGACGTTCCCTGTGGCCCCAGAGGACCCGCCCTGGTCGCCTGGACCCCAAAAGGGCCCGCGGGAGCCTGCTGGGTCCCAGCTCTCCTCTCTCCCAGGGAGCGCACCTGTCGGGGCTGAGAGGGCAGGGGAGGGAGTGGGGAGGGAGCCAGCAGCCACCCGGCGGCTCCGATCTCTGCCCGAGGCTGTCCATCCGGAGCTGCGGTTACCAGCGGCCTCCCAGCCCCTCCACCCCTCGGGGCAGGAACGCTCCGATCCAGACCAGCCCGGTCACTCCCTCCCTCCCTCCCGCTCGGGAAACTGCGGGAGCAAGTGGGCTACGCAGAATATACATCAAAACCATTAAACCTGCCCTTCCTCTCGGGCGTCTTCCCCTCCTCGCTGGAAATCTGAGCCTCTGGATACAAATAAATGGCACATAACTGTGTCCCCCTCCGCGCCACACACCCAAAGGCGGAGGTTTCAGAGAATTAGCGCTCGGGGCGCTGATGACGCTGAAAGCAGGCCCCAGGTTGCGGCCTCCGGGTAGTAGGTAGTCCCCGAGCCCCTGGACCGGACTCTTGAGGTCCTTCCTATGGGGCGGGAGTCCTGCGCCCCCCACCCCCGCCCCTGCCAGGATGGGCAGGTCTGAGCTCACGCGTCCTCGCTCTCCTCCCCAGCACCCGCCTCCTGCGCCCAGTTCCAGCTGCACGTGCCCTCGGGCCTCGACAGGGTCCTCGCGGTGGAGGGAGACGAGGTGGTGCTGCCGGCGTGGTACACCTTCCAGGGGGAGGCGGCCTCGGCCCAGCCCTGGGAGACGCTCACCCTGATGTGGTTCCTGGAGCAGGAAGGGCAGGATCTGAAGCAGGTGAGGTTCCAACGCCGCTCACCTTAGCCCAGCGGGGGCGGGGGGCGCTGATGGCGACGCGGGGAGGAGGGAAGGGGAGGAGCCAGGGAGGGGGGGACGGGAAAAAGTTTCGGCGGGGTGGGGGGGGGGGGGCAGAAAGCAAGGTCTTCTTCATCGGTTTGATTTTGTTCCGATCTTGGAGGCGGCCCAAAAGGACTCTCTTTCCCCCAAGTTTCCCTAGAAATTTGGCCACAAACACGGCAGAGTGAAGAGGCATCTTACTTTGCTATGGGGGTGGGGCAGTGAGGATTGGGGGCAGAGGTGGGAAGAGTTAGGGCGAGTATCACACTATATATATATATATGAGAGAGAGAGAGAGGAACATCAGCGATGAGAGAGAATCACTGATGGGCTGCCTCCTGCATGCTCCACTCTGGGGATGGAGCCCACAACTTGGGCCTGTGTCCTGACCAGAATCCAATGGTGACCTCCTGGTTCATAGGTCAACGATCAACCACTGAGCCACGCCCACTTTTTAAAAGTTGCCTATCAACCTGTGTTCACATTCTCTGTGCTTTGGACAGTCACAGGCTGCTGCCTCTTGTACCCACCTTGAGAGGCAAGGGGCAGCCTCCCGCCATCTCCCTTCTGGCCTCTCCTGGCATCACAGTTAGGGCAGAGGCCAAGGACACTTACCTACCAGAGCCCCTCCCTGGCATGGCTCCTTCTGAAGCCCGAGGATGCATCTTCAAGAGGCCGTTTGCTAAACAGGCGTGTGTGTGAAAGAAACCTAGACTGCAGGGGTCGATCCTGGTTTCACGGGGCCTGAACTTGTACATTTGGTTCCTTTCAGACATAACCCCTGTTTACATGACCTCTCACCCATTTTACCACCTTTCCAAACACCCCAAGTGGGAGATGGAGACAATATACAGGGGATCAAGAACCGTTCTGGTGAAGAGGACCTGGGGTGGTGAGAGGGTGGCCAGGGAGAAGGGGTGAAGGGGAGCTGGTACAGGTTAGAGGGGACGGTGCAGGTGAGGGGCATCTGAGGTTTGACAGTTTGGGGGAGGGAGATTGGCTGAGCCTGCGGGCACCGTGCAGGCATGGGATAATGGGCAGGGGTTATACCCACACCAGGTGTTGGCACACATCAATGGGGCCACAACAAGCCAAGATGGAGTGTCCCTGGTCTACCCCAGGCCCTCCCGGAATGTGTCCCTGCGGCTGCAGGGCCTCCGGGAGAAAGATTCCGGGTCCTACCGCTGCTCTGTGAACGTGCAAGACAAGCAAGGCACAAGCAGGGGCCACGACAGCAAAACTTTAAAACTTGACGTGTGGGGTAAGTAAGAAGCACACACTTTCCAGTACTTGTGTGTCTCTCCCCGTTCCCCCCACTCCCCCCGCCTGCCCCAGATCAGGCAGTTCTCTCTCCCCAATGGCTGAGTGTACAGTTGGAGGAGGGTTAAATGGAGTGACTAAAGGGTGTGTGTGTAGAAGTTGGTGTGTGTGTGTGTGTAGGGGGGTGTCTATTGGTCTCTTGGGTGTGAGTTTTTAACCTGTCTCTCCTTCCCCAGTTCCTCCAGCTCCTCCATCCTGCCATCTTCTGGGTGCACCCCGTGTGGGGACCAATGTGACCCTGAGCTGCAAGTCCCCAAGGAGTAAGCCCGCTGCCCTGTACCAGTGGGAGCGGTTACAACCATCTGTTGAGGTTTTCTTTGCACCAGTTTTAGGTGAGAGACTTCTGGAGACACAGAGACTGGGGGGGGGCTGGGGAAAGATGAGGTACCAGAGGGACTGGGGTGAAAAGGAGGGTGGGGGCAGTGGTGGAGAAAGAGGGCTACTAGGTACAAGCTTATGTTGGTGCTTTCACGGATAACTATGTTACTAAAGAAGCTCTAGAACTCTGCTGTTCACTGGCTGTGTCCTAGCTACCTCCGTTTCCTAATTTTTTTTAAAGATATTTTTTTTATTGATTTCAGGGTGGAAGGGAGAAAGAGAGAGAGAGATAAAAAACATCAATGATGAGAGAGAATCATTGATCGGCTGCCTCCTGCACACTCGCTGCTGGGGATCGAGCCCCCAATCCTGGCATGTGCCCCCAACCACTGAGCCACACTGGCCAGGCCGTTTCCTCATTTTTAAAATGGGACACCAGCTCTAAAAGTCATTTTGGGGAAATTGGAACTTTAAAAACAATTTTTTATGAGATATAATTGATGGAACATTTTTACTATCGAGTATTAGATGCTTTTAGAGAATTATTAATGATCAGGTATGGCGATGGTATTGTGGTTATGTAGGGCAGTCTCCTTAATATTTGGAGATTTATGCTGAAGTCGTTATTTTAAATGTCTCAGGAGAAAAGAGAAAGGAAATTAAATAAGTATAGCAAAATGTTGTCAACTGTTGAATCTAAGTGGTAGAATTTTCATTAGTCCCTCTTTCTACTTTTCATTGGACCATTTTATAATAATTTTTTTTTACATATCGCTTACCTCATAGGTTTGTTTTGAAACTTTTGTAAATCAGTGGATGTAAAGAACTCAGTCCTTGGTGTACATAAGCATCCAATAAACTTTAACTGTTATAATTATTATTTCACGTAATTTTCCAACACTATCCAGAAAGTTATATTATCCTGTTTTAGAGATGAAGTAATGGGGACCCAGGCATAGCAAGTAACTTGCTTAAAGTCACACGGCCTATTCTGGAACTCAGGTTTTCTCATTCCTAGCCAATGTTTTTTCTCTCACCCCACTCTGCCATTTAGAAATTGAAATCCTGTTTTGATTTCTCGGTATCATTTCTTTATTATTATTTTTTAAAAATATATATATTTTTGTTGATTTCAGAGAGGAAGGGAGAGGGAGAGAGAGATAAAAACATCAATGATGAGAGAGAATCATTGATCGGCTGCCTCCTGCACACTCGCTGCTGGGGATCGAGCCCCCAATCCTGGCATGTGCCCCCAACCACTGAGCCACACTGGCCAGGCCGTTTCCTCATTTTTAAAATGGGACACCAGCTCTAAAAGTCATTTTGGGGAAATTGGAACTTTAAAAACAATTTTTTAGCCCTAACCGGTTTGGCTCAGTGGATAGAGCGTCGGCCTGCGGACTCAAGGGTCCCAGGTTCGATTCCAGTCAAGGGCATGTACCCTGGTTGTGGGCATAACCCCAGTGGGGAGTGTGCAGGAGGCAGCTGATCGATGTTTCTCTCTCATCGATGTTTCTAACTCTCTATCCCTCTCCCTT